GCAGTGCTGTTTTCGGAATAATTCTTTTGCGTTCATGTTTTTTGTTTTAGACGTGAAAGGCCCAAAGAAGGAAAAGGCTGGGCAACAGAAAAGGGGAGAAAAAGAAGGGAAAAGAGAACAGCTTGCACAAAAAATCAGCTGCCAACTTCTTTCAAAGGACTTTCTCTACTAGCTGAACTGTGATGACAGCAACATCCAGACCCACAATATTGGGAAGGTAATTAATGCAGAAGCCTGTCATGTCATGAATTTGATACAAATAAGGAATCCAGTATGAGACTGGGGGTTTACTGATGCATAGCTTAGATATTGGCAAGTAAAAGAAAAATGTTGAAGCTATGTTTCAAACAGATGAGCTTCATTTGTGGAATTTATTTGAAAGTCCGCATATTTTAACTACAAGACGATGAAATTCCATTAAGAATGAAAAAAATTTATCCTCTATACAATTCAAAATAGAATTACAAGAATATATTTCATATTCCACCATCCTCATAATTAAAATATGTATGGATTTCCAAATGAATTTCACAAATAAAGTTCATTTCTTCCAAAAATGACTTAAAAATTATAAAGATTGACAACATACCACAAAAAATACCACTTCCTCATTTGCGAAAGATGCAGTGAATTCATTTCTCTCCATCTTGTCTTTGACGAAACCTTGCAACTGATAAATAAAGAGGTCAGAAAACTCACAAACATAACATTGAAGGTTCCCACACCGTTCAAGTGCTTGAGCCACTGAAGGTGGAAACTGAGATATATTATTATGTTTTACTCAAAGAAACACAAAATTTCATATAAATTACTCAGTCAATACCACAAAATGAACTAACTAATGATGGTGGTGATACATCCTTGCATTGCCTCTACAATGTGCAATCCCGAAAGCATCTTGGGTCAGTGGTGCATAGCACAAATTCAAAAGAATACATTCTAAAACTAAGGAAAAGACAAGCAATTGAGTTCCCCTCCAACCTACCAGGAAATAGCTTTTTGTTGAGGCACTCCAAAACTGGAACTAAAAATCAAGTGTTTCTACTCAGTGTTTCAAAATAAAATCTTGAAGTGTAGCTTAGCCCACATATAATATCATTCTCCACAATGAGCAGGTACAATTGGGTTGACTTGATTGATCCCTTGTTGTTACTAAGCACCCGTCCACAAATCCATGGTTTTGTTACATGCTAAGATCAAGATTATTTCATTGAGTAGGGTGGGCTAATGAGTTAGGTAAGACTTTATTTCAAAAAATAATAGATAAGACTTTGACCCATGTTTTGGTCAGCTCAGTTCACCTGAATAAGGGGGTGTCTGTAATTTTACCAAAATATGCTTTCATTTTTTTTTTTCACATCAAAGCACAACTCACCCGAGCAAGGGAGTAGTTTGTATCTTTTTACCAATGTACCCCTCTATTTTTTTCTTTCATAGTTGACATATAGCTACACTAATTGAAAAAAATATATATAGATAATTAAATACTGTAGAATATTGAAAAAAAAACATTACAGCAATTTATTACAAGCAATGACTCCAGAAATCTCTAGGATGATGTAAAGGACATTCCCTCCGAGATAATTCATGGTAAGTTATCAAGAAAGATGAAAGACCAACCTCATAATGATACTTCTTAACTGCAGACCACAAGGCCTTTAACTGTTGCAATCCTCGAGAAATGTAAGAACTCAGAGTATTCTTCTTCCCTAAGGTATAAGAATCCAACACCCCAAGGAACTTCTGAATGTATACTTCATAAAAGCTGTTGATGAACTACAATCCACAAGAAGCATAATATTCAGTTAAGATCCGTGCAGACGTTTACGTAAGTATAAATAATGCTCTAACAAAAATTTCAAATTTTATATTAGTTACAACTGAGCAAACAATGATAATTAGTTTCACATTAACAACATCACCTTCAAGAATGTGCATCTTGTAGTCGTCTTGTGCCTTCGAGCATTAAACTCTCTCATCTGTAGGAAAAGAAAAAAACAAAAGGCAACATCAATAAGACATACTTGGTGCATAAAGCAGCACCTTCATAAACTCATCGACTGAAATAATATTGAAGAATGATGCTTCTGCAATTTGAAGAACCTGCACAAGTTGCTGTATTTGGATCCACTGTTCTGCGACAATGTCTGCCATCTAAAAGTGAAGAAAATAAAACCCAAATTACAAAGTACAAAAATAAAAAGTAGAGAACTCATATTTAATTTTTCAGATCCAATAGGTAGTATATCAAGAGCAGAGAGTTCTTTCTTTGACAGGATACCAGTGGAAGAGTAGAAAGTTCTTGTGCAAAGACCACTATATTAAAAAAAGGCCTTCTAGGAACTGAATGGCAAATGAATATTCTTACTATCCAACAAAATCTCAGTATTGCAAAGCAAAAATATTTGAATAGAGTTGCAGTTATTGCAGATAAGAAATTAGAGCAAATAGACAAATTTCTAATTTTTGACAGTTAAGTACCACGGAGGAAATAAAAAGAAAACAAATATTGTCTAGCAAGAGAAATATATTAATCTATTTTTCAGATGGGAAATCATAATTACTGGTAACTACTTCAGCTTCAAAAGCTATGAAAATGAATTTGGGAATTTACCTTTTCAACTTCTGAAATAACAACTTTTAACCGATCATTAGCATCTTGAGTTTTTGCTTGCAAAATATGAGTATCAAAGTTGTTCTTTCTTAAAGAAGCCCACAGAAGTTTTACCTAGGCATTGCCAACCCTGCTTGTCAAATCAGTTAAATTTTCAAAAAAGAATGCTACCATAATCTGCAGTAAGTTTAACAACACTGCTGTAAAATGAGAAGAAAGTGAACAAAAGTATATTGAAATATGAAGTGCATAATTAAATAGA